GACAATTATCATACCGCTGTAGGATAAAAGAGTCAAAGATCATACCACACTAGCTACGAGAATGCCAGACCTGCTAGTGCCTGCACAATGACTAGGAGAACTTTCAATCGTCTGCAGGAATTTAAATTTTTTGTGAAAATTTCGGGAAAACTTGTCTCAATTAATGAAAGTAACTTCGTGATGGAGTTCACACCAATCGAAGAATTTGATGAGATCTGGAGCTAGTTTCATTCACGGAAGTCTCTTTTGTTGTCCTTTGAGCTGCCATAATAATACAGATAGCTAACACTTAAAAAAAATTCACCAGAATGTATCAAAAGCGATACAGGAGTAGCACTAAGTAAACACCAATACCAGCACATATAGACAGGAGTTGCTGCAAATGGCTCCTCCCTGTCAAAAGCTCCTCTTTAAGTTTCTCAACGATTGTCCCTCTCTGTTTAGGGTGCGAATATCAATGATCATTCAATAGAATGAAAGCCAACAATTGGACAAATAGGGAAAACATGGCATAAATTTACCCTTGGATCATCTAGAAGTCTAAGGGGGTTATTATCTGCACTTTGAAGGTCTCTGACATTTTCATTATAGATCTCCATGGCAGAAAACCTCAGAACAAATTCTCTGTCTTGATGCTGAGAAATGACAAGTCATCTTTTGGATGCTATTAAAGAACATCATCTATTTCATTGCAAGCGAAGAGCAATAAAATTGTTTTATACCGTCTCTATATAGTCGTATATATCTCTCACTGCAAGTTCAGTAATTCCAGTCATGGTATATGTCTTTCCACTGCTGGTTTGCCCATATGCGAAAACACTAGCTGAAGATGGGTTTCATCAATGAGGCAAAGATGTTTAAAGCATAAACAATAATAGAAATAATCAGGAAGCACAAAGCGACATTTTTTTTTTTTTAACTCACAATTGATACCACCAAGCACCGAAAGAGCAACTGCCTTGACCCCTGCCTCATATACATGCTGTGTGGAGCAACCATCCCGAAACACATTGTCTGTGTTCCAAAAAAAAAAATGATTATTAAAAAGGGGCTTGAGAAAGGAAGAAAATGTTGAACATGGGATTAAGGATTGCTGCAATTAATAGAGACGTCATGCTTGATCTTGAAAATCACAAGATGGAACATATATATGTGAAATGCTAGGTCATAATTGAGAGTGTCCCCAATTTATCAAATACAAAAATTACAGAATGGCCTTCATCATCCAGCTAAATTGGAGCTTTACCAAACGTGTAGGTATCCATTGAGGAGGAGGATTCTGAAAAGGTGTTCTTGCATTGGATGGAATTGGGAGAAATGCATTCCCACTCTGATACATCGTTCCTGGCTTTTTCTTTCTCGTTCAAAGGCCTTACTCTAACCGAAACAAAAATTCTCTCTTCATGGCCATTTGATCGAGGTGTTTCCCTCATTAATTCCCCCCAACCGGACAAATTTTAATAATGCAAGACACGGAGACGAGGACTCCGGATTCAACGATTATTCCTGTTCAATCGCACCGTCTGTATCCCTACGGGAAATATCACCCATTGATCAAATCATTTTGTCGTCATTCAATCGGTACAGGCCAAAGGCAGCTCCCGAAGAAAACGAACGATCAAACATGAGCGAGCATTACTAATTCAAAGAGGTACAATGCAGGTACATAGACATGCTCGCATACAGCTATGAACAGCCCAAGAAGCCGTTCTCTCTCCCTATCGCGCCAGAGAAAGAGAGAGAAGCTGAAGGAAGGGCTATGCCTCTGTTCAATGGCGAAGCCTTGGGTCCTTCCCTCCCATTCCATGTGAGGTATAACAGAAATCAAGGCTGAATCCACAATTTTGACCCCCACTCTCGCTATCACTAATATTCACGCAATCACCGCGCGCATTCTGGAAGTTATTTCGTTGAATGAAAAAGAGCATTTTTTTTTTAGATGACGTAAAAATAAATAGTACCATTATGATTTATGACCTTTGCCAACCATTGATGTAGTTTCCTTTCATTTCATCCCATTTTTGGACGTGGATCGCATGATTTGTGGCAATGGTCTTCAATCTTTGTACAGGTAATGGGTAATGGAGCAATGAAATGGGGTAAAAGCTTTTATATTATTCCTCATTAAAAAATATAAAATATTAAATATTTAAAAATATAAAAAAAATTTAATTTTTTAAAATATAATCATTATCTTTTTTTAAGTATACTGTTAAATAAAATATTTATATTTATTTTAAAATAAAACGTCTTATTAAATAAGAATAATTATAAAAAAATAAAATTAATTTAAAAATAAATAATTATTTTATTAGGGTGAAATTAATTTAATTAAAAATATTTTATATTTTTTAATAGATTAGAGTATATTTTCTCCCTTTCATCAAATCAAAGTTTTTTCAATGTTTCGTAACATCAGAATTAGGATAAATAAGCTATCAAAAAAGGGAATTAGGATAAATAAACTATATTAAATTGTCAATCAGTGCATCATCCAAATAGTGTGTCGGCTTATCAACACATGAAAGAAACATGGTATACGTACGATTCAGATGGTATAGTTTGAAATACGTCTTCAATTAAATTACTGCAGCTTTCATGTGCTGCATAATTATAAGTCGCGGTTTAGATAAACGGTTGAGATGACAAAGCTAAAAAAATAGTGTTTGGGTAATTTGATACATGATGGAGACGCAGGCAACGACAATTTCTCCGATTTGCTTCTTCCTCCCACCTCCTCCTCCTGTATTCTCTTAATATCTTTCCCCACTTTTTTTTTTTTTACTATTATTTCTCAATTAAATGAACGAATTTCAGGTCTGAATTAACTTGCTTAAAGCAGCATGATCTCCATAATTTCTAGGAAACACAAGGCACAGAGTTATGATCACATACATTAACCAAAACCATGAGCTCATTTCTGAAAAAGTTGAGCATGGTGTTGGCGATTACGTCGATGCTGATATCATTATATTCAAAGTCAGCACGGATTTCGTCACCACCAGCACTAGCAGAGGCGCCGGATTTAAATTTTCAGACGATGGAGGCAGAGAGGAGTGAGGATTGTTATCATGATTTGGAAGACTATGGCAATTGGAGCCCTAATCCTGTTTCTCCGGGAGGCAATGCTGCTCCTATTCCTCATCCAAAACAGAAATAACCCTAACACTCATTCTCTGCTTCACCAGGTTTCTTTAATTTCCTGCTGAATTAATTTCTAATAAGAGGATGAAAGTGGCCAGGGATTAATTCCTTCTGTATCGGAAGAATCGATGAGAAAAGTCATCAATGTATATATACTTTGTAACTCCACCTAGAGATTTAAGATCCTCTGAAACCTCGGAATAATTAATCAGAAAGCATGTGATATCATTGCGTCACCACCACCACCACCACAAATTCCTGAACTACCACCACCACCACCATCACAAATTCCTGAACTAAGTTCATCTCGGAAGTTTATACATACAAACGTGAGGGGACAACATCGAAGTCCTCCTTAATTACAGCCAACTGGCGACGAATCACTATTCACTACAGCCATCAAGCAATGTAATTACGTCAATCGTCCTTCCTCTATATATAGGATAATTGGATGTTACTCTATGATCTCCATAGGTGTCTCGAGCATGATTACCATTGCACAGTATGACAAGAGTAAGAAGCCCAAAATGGAGCACACAACATGAGTAGTGATGATCAGCTTATGACAGTTAATAAACTGTAATTTTTTTTTTTGGTGGAGGCACGTGTTGAAATTAATGGAATTATTAAACGTAAATTTTAAAATGAAAAATGTAACAAGGCGTAATTTTTAATCAAATTTGAACCATTTGTATACTTGTGCTAGGTGTATTTTATTTTTTAAGGGTGCCTTTCGGACTTATCTTATAAAGCTGCCAGTCTCTTTATTCTGGTGCAGAAAAAGAGAAGAATTATACATATAACAAGTGATACGACTCTCATCATTGGGTCCTATGTACACCGCTCACGGGGTTGGTTACCTTCTACATTTTCCTGTAGTTTCGTTTCCTGTTAATAATCCCGAAGCCTTGCGGCACCGTAATTGATCTTGTGTGATGAAATAATCCTTAAGGATACTATCATCTGGTATTAGTCCGATCATGTTTTAATTTGCTCATGTTTACAAGATTTGCCCTTGATACGTAACTTTACTGGGACATGGCATCATCAACATATGCATATATATATATATATTGATTCTGGGATTCAATGCTTTCCCTCCCCAGAAATCATGAAAGTATCTAAGCTTCTTTTATAAATAAAAATAATCTTATACTTTCCTTTCTTGAAAAAAAAATAAGAGTATTGCTTAAATAATTGAAAAGCTATATTTAAACTGTCTAAATTGAATCTGAACAATCTATGTTTATCTCAAGAATATATGATGACTTGATGAGTATTAAATTTAGACACATGCAGCGTGTAGATTAAAAACATCAATAAATTCCCTGACGAATCCCATGAATAATTAATGACGACCAAGTTTGGAGCATAGAAATCACAGGCAGCGTCAGCTGGCTTTGCCATAATCCTAAGCATCGGAGAAAAGATAGAATATATTTTGTCTTTTAATTTTATCTAAAATTTTATTTTGATCCTTTAATTTTTTAAATCGTATGTATTTTCAATCCTTTAACTTTAACACTGTTAGTTTGATCATAAATTTTAAATATTGATAAAAAAATTTTACATTAAACTATTAAATATTCACAAAATATTATTAAATGTTTACATGTTGAATATAAATTTTTAAAAATTTTTAAAAATAACAATAATTGATAAAAAAATAATCATTTGATGCAAACAATGTTAGAGGTGAAAGATTAAAAAATACTTTATAAAATTAAATAATGAAATTAAAATTTTACATAAAATTAGAGAATCAAAAACGTACTTTAGCCATACATGATAATTGCCTCTACCATTCTCACTTTTGTAAAAGGGATTAGCATCACATTATCATGCACTATATAAGGTCAATTCCGCTAAACAAACAGTCGAATTACGGTTCAGGTAAACATACACTTTTGTTTGGGGATGCAAAATTACAATCAATTACGGTCTTAGGATAGCAACGTAACATGTATATTTTAAACAGTGAACATGCAACGTAGTAACATTCACTGCATGTCTAATTTATTGGAAAATAAATCTGGCAGGTTTGAGCAAAGCTAATAACGATGTGGAGCTAGAAAAGCAAAGGATAAGTGGTAAGATCTGAGCCTGTCGCTCCGGAATGCGGATTGGGGTGACTAGGCTGAAGGCTTAATGCAAACATGCGAGGACCTATATTGGAGAATCCCATCACAGCATCATACTCCACTGGGTTTTCTATTAATCCAAAACGTGGATCTTCTGCTCTTGCCTCCTTAATGAACCAAACAATTGCCATTACATGCAAATTTTTAAGGTGCCAAAAGATATATATATATATATATAGAGAGAGAGAGAGAGAGTGAGAGTGTGTGTAGGTCGATAAATTCAAACTAGAAAAAATGAGAGTTTGCTTACTAAGTCACGTAGGAGTCTGCCATGTACTTCTCTCTCGTTATTGTACTGCAAGAAAAGTACAACACATCTAGTAATTAAGTTGAAGGCAACTAAACACCTAAACAGATTATTATTTACGAAACCAGCAAACCACAACTACCTTCTTCCTCTGAGTGTCGATCTGATTTGTAAGCACCTTATACTGTAAACCATTGTAAATACAAAACTCGTTAGCATAGATCTCTACTGGGGCAACGTTACTCTTGTTGTGAGATTTTGCTCTAGTGCTGTGTAAAATATTCTGTGTTACTCTGTGTGTACGTGTGTAGTCTAATAAAATAAAGAATCTGCCTCTCAAAACATAGAATTGTTTATGAAAAAAACTTAACAAGGTTAAAAATGTTAAAGCAAGACGACATCAGTATAGCAGTTCATCAAGGAGCTAATAGATGCAATTTCTTTTATCAAAACATCCGAAGTTTCTAATATAAGTTATCAGGGTATATTCTCACATGAAGAGTTTGTTTTCCCCACTCATGTAACTCTTCTGATCAAGCAATCAAAGCTTAATTCTATCTAAATTAAAGCGTTCGAGCAAAATACAAAAGGAAAATGTCAAGCAACTCGATCCACGAATCCATCCTCCCCCAGTAAAAGGGAAATCCAAGACACAAAACCTGTAATTTTCTCTCATACAAATAGATTTAATTTCGTGTGCTGAATTAAAATTAATAATTTGTGTTAAGAACTCTTTCAATTTCTTATAGCCATTACCGGAATGTAGATACATGTTCTTGTTTCCCGTTTCTGTAGAAGTTTCAACTCATTTAACCCGAAGACACCTCAAGTTTTCTATGTTATCGGCTGTGTCTTAGGACTTTCATAGATTTGTTCCTTCAAGTAACCAAAGGATATATTTATGTGCTCTGAAAACTCCAAAATTTTAAAAACTTTTAAATGAATTAAATTTAATTAAGATGGTAAACAGGCATGTAAAACAAATTAATTGACTTAACAAAATCCGAAAGTGCATGTATATTTCCTAATTAAACATTATATTGTGTTACCTTCCGCTCACGAATGACCTTGGTGGCCTGTTCCATTTCTTCTTCAAGTAGGTTCAGGTCATCCATGCTCAGACCATCCAAGCAGTCCCCCATCCTCTGCCTGTTCAATTATACAACCACATATGTCACAGTCTTTATGTAAACAAAGAGAAAATCACCCAAAAAATGACCGAGAGGACCTAATATCTCTACGAAGATTCTTGTTCACTTCTTTCAGCTTCTTCAGGTTCTCTAACATATTCTGGGGCAAACAAAACCGATCGACGCCACATAAGAAAATTTCTTTTTATTTAGCACAGGGAAAGTTAAAAAAAAAAAAAAACCTGAAAATAAATAGAGAGAGAATATGGGAGCAGGAAGGACCTCGTAGTGGGAGCTCCATAGATCAATCCCTACGGTCTTTTGGTACTGATCGAAGAATTCCTTCGTTCTATCAAAGTAAAAAAGGAAGAGCAAACATAGCTTAATTTTTTTCTTAAAAAAAGTTAGGGTTTGGGAATTTGGAGGAGGAAGGAATATAGCAGTACGTGATGGAGGGGCTGATGTACTCATGGAGTTTGCCGGTACTGCTGGAGAACATAATAATGGAAACCTTGGCGTCGCAGAGAACAGTGAGCTCATTGGCCTTCTTGAAGAGACCGTTTCGTCTTTTGGAGTAGGTGACCTGACGGTTGGTGGTATTTTCAATCCTCTTGATCTGGATCTTGCCTCGAGCCATGTTTGTTGTTGTGTATAAAGAAATTAAAGGTATGGTAGATTTTTTCTGCTCTCTCTTCTTCTCGCACTCTCTCTCAAGAGAAAAAGCAGAACAAGGAAATGATATCATAGAGATTAAAGACGAGGAAGATAGGAAGAGAAGGCGAGGGAGTCCATTGCCTAGAATGGAAGCCTCTTTGCTAAATTGGTGAAAGCCTTGGCAGACTTTGTTAAAAACGTCCTTCTTGTCTTTCTGCTTCCGTCGCCTACGCAATTCCACGTGGTGTGGACCTTGCGCCGTTACTTCACGGAACTCATCGCCCTCCCCTAACACGCTCTCACTATCAAAGCTTCCAGAGTCCAAGTTTTATACGGATGCTTTTTTCTGAAAAATTTAAATAAAAATAATATTTATATTGTTATGCGTCTGAATCCTAAATATTAATTGAAGTACTTCAATGTAAAAAGGTTCAATTCTAATAACTCCAGATAGACATTCATTATAGAATTATTTGATTAGACAACAACAGCTATATTATTTTTGAATTTTTAATAACAATATCAAGACATACACCTATGTATATTTTTCAAATAATAGCTTGATTTTAGTTTTATAATTTGGTACCGTGTGGTAGAATTTAAAAAAAAAAGAATTGGCTTGATTGGCAAAGATGTTTCATACATGCAACTAAATCGTTGATATAAAGACTCCGTAATGGGTAACGCATAAACTTATTGAATCCTAATTCTCAAGCCTTAAAACCTAGCCTAACTTTAGTTAGGGTTAGGGGTGAAAATATATCAATCCCTAGCATAGCTTACTTTATGCTTAGCCTAACATATTTATCAAATAAATTTAACTCAAATTTAGACCTTTAGATTAGTCTTATTTTTTTTAATATCTACTTATAAATGTGTGTTATGCAATATATTACGTACATTAGTTTTATCATTTGATTTTAATTAACCAATATTTTCTCATTTCTAAGTTTTTTTTTCAATAGGATTGTATTTATATATTTATTTTAATGTTATTACTTTATTATTATATTATATTATAATTGATATATCTTTTTAATTATTATATATTGTAATTGATATATCAAATTATCATTACATGCTAATAACTTTAAAATATATTTGAGATGTTTAAGATTAAAATGCAAGTCTATTTAAAATATTTATTTTTAAGTAAGCTTTTAAATTAGGCTTTAGATAGATTTAGGTTTGACTTGTAAAAAAAATTTTATACAAATTGTAGGCCAAACTCAGGCAACTAACTTATCAAATAAGCTCATTCCTATTTAATTAAAACTTAATTTAACCTATTAACACCCTTGGTTAGTTGATTAGAATCACACCCAAGCTTTTTTGTACATAAAGCAATTTGTTAACATTGATATATTTCATTGCTCTTTGGAATAATGAACATAAGAAAAAAAAACTGTCCAGAGAACATCGCGTACCTAATTTTTCTGGACCAATGCAGTACATTATATACAGGTAATTCCACATTAGAGTCTAATTTATTTATTTTGTAAATTATATTTTTTGGATAAGATAATGATGAGCGAAATGATTTTATCAGTACATTTTTATGCAGAAATGATACAAATACTTAAATATGCTTTTAAGTAAAAAAAGCTGATGTAATTGTCTGAACCTCAAAAAATCATAACGAAAGTCGTTCGTTTTCCGTCCATGATTGATTGAAGGGACGGAATGAATTCATTGAGTGGCTGGAAACGTCGGTCCTGAGTCCTGACAGAAACGGCGGATGGAAACGGCGGATGTGCCGTTTTGGGACTACGAAGAAGTTCATACAATACGTCGGCGTCGTGGCTTGACGAGATTAGATTAGACCTCTTGCGTTCCCGAGTTAGCAACATATTCTGTTTTTCTTTTTTTATTTGGTCAAATGAGTTTTTCCTTAGGCGAATTGGTCAAATTAGTCCACAGACATATCCAATCATCACAAGACAAGCAAGCTTTAATTATAATTTCAAAAGATTCATTTATAATATTAGAGGACTTAATTAATCATAATAAAAACATTAACGGCATATCTTGCGAGTGACTTTAATTGTCTCGTATTTTAGAAGTATAAGCTTGTAGCTGTGTGTTTTTTTTTTTTCAGTTTGAAAGTTTATTTGCTGAAAATATATTTAATAAAAATCAATTTAATAAAAGTTAGTTATTATAATAAAATTTATATTTGAATGTATTTTTTTAAAATTAGTTTAAAAAACTAAAAATTACTTGGATTAATAATAATTTGTATTTTTAAAAATTTTATTTGAATATGTAATGATAAAAAGGACATTAATTTATGATAATTAATAATTTTTATTGTACAAATATAATATATTAGAAATGTTTAAAAAATTAAAATAAATTAATATAACATAAAATTTAATATGTTAAATAATAAGAATGAAAAAAAAATAGTTTGATATTAGAAAAAATTAAAACATAATAAAGATATTATAGTCATTTATAAAAGTAGGTAACCCAGCTCTCATTTGTAATTTCAAATTCACCAAAAAATTGAGTTGTTAAATCCACATTTTAATCATGTTTCAACCCACTTTCAAAAAATTATTTTGTTTATGTAAAAAATAACCAAACAATATTAAACATCTGGAATGTTAAGAAGTGAATATGAGATGTTAGACGTTGAAAAACCAAACACACCTTAAAAAAATGCAGACTGTGTTTATTGTAAAAAAAAAAAATATTGTAATTGTTAGAAGTGAAATTATGAATGGGGATGGGAGCATTTCACGCAATGTTGACGAGTGGTGAATACAGGTGTAAAGGGGGATGGGAATTAAGAGGTGATTGGGACAGGAGAGATGAGGACAGCGAAATAACCTGGGGGCTACAGAATGGAGCTTGAGAGTAATAATAGTGATGGTGATGGAGCCTCTATTACTGTGAGCCAGGTTATAGGGGAAGGCTGAGGCAGCGGTGTGGTGTTACTGTTGGCTGTTGGGTGAGTTGCTGGAACTGGAGGAAATAGAGAGCTTTAGTCTCGTGTCGTCCTCATCGCACGAAATTGGAAACGCCCAACGTTGTCCACCCTCTCACCCATGTCGTCATTTCAAGCTTTCATCTCTTCCCGGGCCCCTAATTCAATTTCACCTTCTCTCCAGAGTTCGCCGTGCTTTTGCTTCTAGCATCTGCACGCTCGTATTCTTTGTTAAATTCGTATATGATATACTACTTTTTTTTAAAAAAAAATCATTTCTAATTAAATTAAATTAAATTAAATTAAATGTTTTCTACATCATGTATTTAACATCTGTACTTTTTTGGGCTTTTTTTATGAAGTGTTTAGCAATTTTAGCCCAAAAAAATTAAATATTTTACAATTTGGCACTTAGGATTAAAGCACCCGCCTAACACACTCCTTCCTGAAAATAGGGCAGATAAAGACTATTATTTTTCATCCTATTTATAAGTTATTTTATTAAATTTTTAATACAAATTTTTTCTTTTATTCTTCATTAAATATTGGAGAAAAAATATGTTATTAAAATATATGTGTATTGGTAATCAAAGTATAGATATTTAATATACAAAAAATTAAAAAATTATTAAATCTTCAGATAGAACTAATGATTTCTTAATTTTTTTTATTTTAATAAGATATATTGAAAATAATTTATAAATATTCAGATAAAAAAAAGAAAATAATTTATAAATGGGATCAAATCTACTAGGAGTACATTATTGATATGTTATCATTTACATGCCGTTTTCACCTTGCATGCACATGAAACGACCCTTGAATTCAAAGTTGTTCAATTGAATGAAAACAAAAAAAATACTGGAATCTTATTCACAACGAAGCGGTAAATAAAAAAGGGCGAAATGTGATTTTTTATTTATAATTTATTCCTCCTTTAATGATACTGTCCATGTTCAGTAAACGAGCTTCTGTTAGCTGTTACAAACCCTCCTGGCAAGCAGCAGGCAGAGCTTGTAAAATTAGTCCCAAGAGAGTGGGGAAAGGGCTTTTAGCTTTTAGCCTCTGTCTTTAAAGCCCATGTTCGTAAGTGTTTTTCTTATTTATTTAAATTTCAAGAGTTAAAAAAAATGCCATTTACAATTATTATCATCATCTTATTGTTTCAAAATTGCAAACTAATTTGGGATAATTGAATAAAGTGAATAAGACATATTATATTTTTAAAACACAAGATTGAGCGTGAAATGTTATATACATTTGTGTCGTCTCGTGCGTATATTAATGTGTGCACGTAACATATAAAAGTGTGTAGACATCATAGGATGGAGTAATTAATGAAGGTTATTTCCGCAGGGATAAAGTTTTGTGAGGTGAAAATAAAAGTATCAAAAGAAACGGAAGTAATTTTTTAGAAAGAAAAAGCTTAGGGGCTTCCGAACCTATAATTTTTTTTTAATACATGACCACGATAAAAAATCATATAAAGAGACCAAAATCAAGTCATGTTGAAAACCATAATGATATCAAAATGATCCCTCAAAGTCTTGTGGGCTAAAAAATTGATACAGCGGTTGGCTTCTTTACAGACGTGATAAAAGTGATCTCCTAATTTTGTATTGTAAGTTTCAGATGTTCCTCAAAATTGGTGCAAGAGGATGACCTTGATTGAAATTACTTGAAAGGGCCTTCATAGAATCAGAACAAATATTTACTTTGATAATCCTATCATCTTAACATATGTTAAGCTCTTTCAAAATTGCTATGAGTTCAGCTGTGATGTTAGATTGATAACAAAGGTTTTTAGTAAACCCCTTAATTCAGTTTCCCTTGTTATCTCTAATAAGTCCTCTACAAGTAGTTGCTCTATTGTGCTTAACTGAACCATCAACATCAAGTTTGGCCCATCCAAGTTTTGGTGGATCCCATCTAGCCTTATGTCTAGAGTTGGTTCTATTTAGAAAATCAATTTTAAATTGAAGTTTATGTCGTTAATGATTTGATTGGTACTAGAGAAAGTGATGTCATTTTTTTGCATTAGTATCGTTAGACTAAATTTTTTTTATCTTGCTTTTCAAATGTTCAGCAAGCATAGGCAAAAAGTTTCTACTAAAGCAATCTTCTTATAGACAAGCTTTCTGCTTCATTTTTAGCATTTCAAATTATTCAATTCTGCGCAGAAGAAGAAAAGAAAATATCATGTTCAGATGGATTTACTAATTTTTTCCAAACCTCCTTGACATCTTTACAGTCACGTAAAATATGAATAAAAGAGTCAAGAGAGTTACAACCAAGTGGGTAAGCGCGTTCTTGAATGCT